GCAGCAGAAGCACTAGCAGCAGGGGCAGCTGCAGCAGGAGCAGCAGCAGCGCCAGTAGCTGCAGCAGCACTGTGAAAGAACAGCAGCAGCACCGTAAACAGCAGCAACAGAAGCGACTGGATCAGCAGCAACAACAGCAGCAGCAGCAGGGCAAGCAGCAAGGCAAGCAGCAGCAGGTCTTTGCACACCCTTAGTGCGGTATCTTCTGCAGGAGCAGCAGTTCCTGCTGCTGCTTCTGCTGCTGCTGTTGCTGCTGTTGCTGCTTCTTCTTCGAGCCTCCTGGGAGGGGGGTTTGCAGCAAGAGCAGCAGCAAATGCTTTGAAGGAAGCAGCTGTAAACTCAGCTTCCCTCCTGAAGCCACAGCAGCAGCAGCAGCAGCAGCAGCGCACATGACTGTGCACAAGCAGCAAGTAGATTTGCTGCTGCAGCAGCAACAGCTGCTGCGGCTGCTGATGCTGCTGCTGCGCTTTCCGTTACTAGAAGCTGGGGGCTGCTGAGGATGCAGCAAACAGCAGAGACGTTAACACAATCAGCAGCAGCAGAAGCAGGAGAAGCAGCAGCAGGAGAAGCAGCAGCAGCAGAAGCGGCAGCAGACGCAGCAGGATCGCCATTAAGAGCAGCAGCAACAGTAACAGCACAGCAGAAGCACCATCAACAGCAGCAAGAGCAGCATCATCCGCAGCAGCATCAGTATCTACAGCCGCAGCAGCAAGAGCAGCAGCAGGAGCAACAGCAACGTGAGCAGCAGCACCCTGAGGGGCAGCAGCAGCAGCTGGGGCAAAGGTTCCTCAGTAGCAGCAGCAGCGTGAGCAGCAGCAGCATGAGCAGCAGCAGCAGTGTAAGCAGCTTGAGCACCACCAGCAGCAACCCCCACAGCAGCGTAAGCAGCAGCAGCAGCACCCGCAGCAGCATAAGCAGCTGCAACAGCAGCAGCAGCACCGTAAGCAGCAACAGCAGCACCCGCAGCAGCATTAGCAGCCGCAGCAGCTTAACCAGCAGCAGCCCCCGCAGCAGCCCTAGCGGCGTGAGGAGCAGCAGCAGCAGCAGCAGCATCAGCAACAATGTAAGTAGCAGCAGCAGCTTGAGCAGCAGTCACGGCAATATCAAGAGGAGGATTGGGGTGTACATACAAATCTATACACACACACATATATATATATATTCTTTTATATATTTATAACTACATTTACATATTTATTTATATAAATCTATTTATATTTATATTTATATTTATATTTATATTTATATTTATATTTATATTTATATTTATTTATTGATGTACACTCCGAGAGGGGGTTGATAATCATCGGGCGGTAAAATATTTTTTAAGATGTCTTCGCTGCCGTCTGTCTCGCAGAGATTTCCTGTCCAAACGTTTTGCAAGTAAAGAAGAGAAGCAAGACCGTCTGGCCGCGACAAAGGTCCTTCTGCTGCTGCTGCTGCATCTGCTGCTGCTGCTGCTGCTGCTGGTGATGCTGCTGCTGATGCTGCTGATGCTGCTGATGCTGGTGGTGATGGGGATGGGAACGAGGATGATTTTGGTGGTGTTGGTGCTGCTGCTGCAGCAAAGGAAATGCTGCTGCTGCTGCTGCTGCTGCTGCTGCTGCTGCTGCAGCGGAATAAACAATGCAGCAGCAGCAACAGCAACAGCAGCGGAGGGCTCTTCTTATCCCTCATCCTTGCAGACAAGTTTTCTGCTGTTGTACTGTGGGGACCCACGCAGCAGCAGCAACAGCAACAACAGCAGCAAGACCAGCAGCAACAGCAACAACAGCAGCAAGACCAGCAGCAGCAGCAACAGCAGAAGCAGCAGCAACAGCAGCAGTGCGAATCGAGGGGCTGCTACCTACAGCAGCAACAAAACAATAAACCCTGAGAGAGACAGCCTGTCTCCTGTATATCCAGGGTTTAGGGTTTAGGGTTTTGCTGCTCTAGGGTTTAAGCCGCAGCAGAAACCCTAACGAGCAGGTGACCTCAGTTCGTGCACCTCTAGGGTTTAGGGTTTAGGGTTCAGGGTTTAGGGTTTTGTATACGTCTAATGCAAGAGACTCAGCTCTCTTTTATAGAAGGTGGAGAGCTCCAAACAATGCGTGAGAACCTAAACCCTAAACCCTAAACCCTAAACCCTAAACCCTAACCGTGACGGCGTAAGGGGTCCCTATGTATAGTTAGTTGGCTGAAGGGGTTTCGGAGCCCCTAGGGTTTAGGGTTTAGGGTTTAGGGTTTAAGGCTCAGGGTTTAGGGTTTAGAGTCTATAAAAATAACTTTCAGGTTATTGTCGCTAGAAAGAAAGCGAGGGAAAGAGAAACGCCTCCAGCAGCGACCGCAGCGACGGAGACAGCAGCAGCAGCAGCAGCAGCAGCAACTGCAGCAGCAACTGCAGCAGCAACTGCAACCCCAAAGCAAAACACACTCCTAGAAAACTAAACTTGAAGGGGCTTTGCAAATATTTTTGCGCTGCTGTCATTTGTGCTGCTTCTGCTGCTGCTGCTGCTGCTGCCAGTCGTCCCCTGGCCCACCGACAACAGCAGCAGCAGCAGCAGCAGCAGCAGCAGCAGCAGCAGCAGCAGCGGCGAGGGCCCCAGGGGCCCCTGTATGCGCAGTTTGTTTATTGTCTTCTTTTCTTCTATTTGTCTACAGCACTTCAACACAATATATTTTTGCTAGAGTAGCTGCCACCAGGCCCCCGGGCGCTCAGCAGCAGCAGCAGCAGCAGCAGCAACAGCAGCAACGGGCAAGCATTTGCCGCTGCAACGCCAGCAGCAGCAGCAGCAGCAGCAGCAGCAGCAAAACGCCCCACCGTCAGTGTTTGCTCTTCTCGCTGTCTTTATTTTTTGTAAGGAGATCTCATTAGCACCAGCACTTCTGCTGCAAGAATACACGCCTTGCTGCTGCTGCGGCTGCTGCTGCTACTGCTGCGCCTTCGCCGCCTGCTGCTGGAGCTGCCTCCCCAGCAGCAGCAGCAGCTGCTGCTGCTTCCTCTTCTTACTGTCTTCTCCTGGGCAGCAGATGCGGCCTCCTTTAGAAAACGTTCACAGCGTTTAGAGTTTCTGCTGCAGCCCTGGCGAACACACTTGCTGCTGCTGCTGCTGCTGCTGCGGCGGCGGCGGCTGCTGCTGCTGGCCTTGGCGCTGCAGCTCGCCTCCAGCAGCAGCATTTGACTCGTAGGCTCCCACTTTATTCATTAGGGGTCTGACTTAGGCAGCTGTGCATGCAACAGCAGCAGCAGCAGCAACTGCAGCAGCAACAGCAACGCCAACAGCAGCAGCAGCAGCGACAGCAACAGCAGCAGCAACGACAGCAGCAGACTCCCGCATCACTTTGTAGCCTTACTACCTGATTTCTCACCATCTCGAGGAGCAGCTGCAGCACGGGTACCAGGAGCAGCAGCAGCAGAAGAAGCAGCAGCAGCAGCAGAAGAAGCAGCAGCAGCAGCAGCCAGTGTTTTTTTGAGAGTAGCAGCATTGGGGCAGCAGCAGGGCCCTGCTTCCTGCTGCTTAGCTGCCGGTGCTGCAGCAACCGAAGGAGCGGCAGCAGCAGCGCCACCACCACCGCCAGCAGCAGCAGCAGCACCACAAGAAGCAGCAGCAGACGCAGCAGCAGCAGAAGCAGCATCACCAGAAGCTGTAGCAGCAGACACAGCAGCAGCAGCACCACCACCACCACCAGAAGCAGCAGCAGCAGACGCAGCAGCACCAGCACCAGCATCAGCACCAGAAGCAGCAGCAACAGCAGCACCACCAGAAGCATCAGCAGTAGCATCAGCAGACGCAGGAGCAGGAGCAGCAGCAGCAGCAGCAGCAACAACAATGATTCCTATGCATCGGCCGATCTCTCGGCCCCTTCATCCGCCTTACATTGAATTTGAGGTGCCTCCGCAGACAGACGAAGAAGCAGCACAAAGAATGCGTCAGCAGCTCGAGGAGGGTGCGCTAGGGTTTAGGGTTTAGGGTTTAGGGTTTAGGGATGCGTGGAGTGCCGCTCAATCTTCCTTCTGCTTCGGCTGCTTCTGCTGACCTATCTCTGCTGTTTCTGTTGCTGTTCCTTCTGCTGCTGCTGCTGCTGCACGAGTGCAGCAGGTTTCGCTTGCTGCTGTTGCCCCATGTGCTGCTGCTGCATCTGCTGCATCCTTTGCTACCATTGTTGCTGCTGCCTTGCTGTTGCTTCAGTTGCTGCTGGTGCATTTGGTGCTGCTGCTGCTGCATTTGGTGCTGCTGCTGCTGCTGCATTTGTTGCAGTGTGCTTCTTCTTTCTGCTGCAAGATGTGCATTTGTTAGGTTTGCTGCTGCTGCTGCTGTTTGTGCTGCTGCTTGTGCTGCTGCTGCTGCTGCAGAGCGTTTGCTGCAGGGCGAGAGGAGCTTCATTCCATACATTTATTGTTTTTATGTCTCTTTATTAATTATCCAGTTTGCTGTCTTCCTCGGCCTCATCGTTGCATACAGAGGCGACTGGGATGCCGTAAGCAGCAGCAGCAACTGCAGCAGCAGCAGCAGCAGCAGCAGCAGCAGCAACCGCAGCAACTGCAGCAGCTGCAGCAGCTGCAGCTGCAGCAACTGCAGCAGCAGCGACTGTAGCAAGCAGCAAGTGTAGCAGCTGCAACTGCAGCAGCAATTGTAGCAGTAGCAATTGTAGCAGCAGCAACTGTAGCAAGCAGCAACTGCAGCAGCAGCAACCGTAGCAGCAGCTACTGTAGCAGCAGCAAATGCACCAGCAGCAGAAGCAGCAACTGAAGCATCGAATACAGCAGCGAATGCAGCAGTGCCAGCCATTGCTTCTGCTGCTGCAGCAGCAGATGCATCAGCAAACACCTGGATAGTAGAAGCTGCTAGACTTTAGGGTTTAGGGTTTAGGTTCTAAGGTTTAGGGTGTAGGGTTTAGGGTTTAGGGTTTAGGGTTTTCCAGCCGACGATTCATTGATCCTGTGCGTTTGCTGTTGCATCTGCTGCTGCTGCATCTGCTGCTGCTGCACCTGTTGCTGCCTGTGCTGCTGCTACCTCTGCTGCTGCCTCTGCTGCTGCTGCTACTGCTGCTGCTGCTGCTGCAGGAGTGCGACTACCGCCCTAAGGTGTGGTCATTGGTTTGCGTAGGTAGGGGTTTGCTGCAGCTGCTGCTAAATTTCTTCATCAGCTCTCTAAGGCTGCAGCAGCAGCAGCCGCCGCAGCAGCTGCTGGTGCTGTCTCGCACTCTCTATTTTTGCGGTTTTGTTTGGTGGCTGCTGGGATTTAAATTAATCCTTATGGGGAGAGAGTGCCCAGGAGGTTCGTCATTTGCTGCTGCTGCTGCTGCTGCTGCTGCTCCTCTTGCTGCTGATGCTGCTGCTGCTCCTGCTGCAGCTGGTGCTGCTCATGCTGCATCTGCCGCATTTTCTGCTGCATCTGCTGCTGTATCTGCTACTGCTGCTGCATCTGCCGCTGCTGCATCTACAACTGCATCTGCTGGTGCTGAATATGCTGCTGCATCTACAACTGCATCTGCTGCTGCTGCTGCTGCTGCTGCTGCTGTTTTCAGAAGCAACCCTGGCGGAGACAGTTTGTGTGGTTCTCTTCTGGGCGACTGCTGTCGTCTATGCAATCCCCTTCTTCATATATGCACTTGTAAGCAGCAACTGCAGCAGCAACTGCAGCAGCAACTGCAGCAGCAACTGCAACAGCAACTGCAAGAGCAACTACAACAGCACTTGCTGCAACAGTTACATCAGCACCTTCTGCTGCAGTTTCTGCTGCAGCAGCAACTGGAGGATCGACAGCAGCACCAGCAGTATATAATATAATATATATATATATATATATTGTGTGTGTGTGTGTGTGTGCTGGGGTGTCTCCGCAGCTTTGTTTGTTTTTACCTTGCATAATATATTTTATTGTCAGGTTCGCAGTGCGACCTGCAGACAGACAACCGACGCCAGCAGAAGTGCTGTCACAGTTAGAAGCAAAGACGTTCGCAGATCTTGTCGAAACCCTCAAAAGACAATACAGTATCAAATAACCCTCATTAACCCTAAACCCTAAACCCTAAACCCTAAACGCCAGTTCTCAACAATTATCAGCATTTAAAATCAATAAGAAACACTAATAAACCCTAATAAACCCTTATAAACCCTTATAAACCCTAATAAACCCTTATAAACCCTAATAAACCCTTATAAACCCTTATAAACCTTAGTAAATCCTTATAAACCCTAATAAACCCTAATTAACACTAATAAACCCTAATAAACACTAATAAACCCTTATAAACCCTTATAAACACTAATAAACCCTTATAAACCCTAATAAACCCTTATAAACCCTAATAAACCTTAATAAACCCTCATAAACCCTAATAAACCCTTATAAACACTAGTGAACCCTCATAACCAGAACCCTCATAAACCCTAATAAACAAATCATAATAAACCCTAAACCCTAATAAACCCTAATAAACCCTAGTAAACCCTAATAAGGACGCTCAAACCCGCCACGCATTAACTGACATACACGCACACAAACACTTCACCTGCAGCACTTGGAAGGCAAACAAACCTAGAGGGTTTGACTGTAGGGTTTAGGGTTTAGGGTTTAGGGTTTTGGGGTGTCTGTTGTACACCAGATATTGAGAACGACGTTATTATAGAATCGAGAGACAGCAGTTTGCTGCCTTCATTGTCTCTAGAAGGAGTAATAGGCGGGGTCTCAACTTTGCTAGGGGGCCCCCAGCAGCAAGGCGAGAACAGGGGTGCAGCAGCAGCAGCAGCAGCAACAACAGCAGCAGCAGCAGGCGGCATACAAACCCCAGCCCCAGCAATTTCTATCAACAGGTGCTGCCCTATTTGTATGGTGGACTTAAACAATGAAGACGTCGTCCTTATCATGCCCTGCGATATCAGGTAGGGTTTAGGGTTTAGGGTTTAGGGTCGAGGATTTAGTGTTTAGGGCTAGGGTTTAGGATCGAGGGTTTAGGTTTAGGGTTTAGGGTTTAGGGATAGGGCTATGGGTTTGATGGTTAGGGTTTGGGGTTTAGGGTTTGTTCAGACAACGAGGGTTTAGGGTCTGCGTCTGTCTAAAGCACTTAGGGTTTAGG